AGGACGGGTCAGAGTTCTGGTTCTGGTTCTACTGTCAAGAGGAGCGATTTGCACATTCATGAGCTGGAACTTATCCTCACACAGGAGACGAGCTTTACTGCTGGAGAAGGAAAGTTTAAGAAAATAAAAAGTTGAGATAAAACTCGTCTAAAAGCCAAAATATTAAATTCAGTCGTGAAGAACGAAGAAAACAACAAACTCTGAACCAGAACGATTCCTCCGTCCAGTTAAACAGCTGCTCCTCAGGTTTATGTGATTCTTTGTATATTAATTAACTTTATTATTAATTAATAATCGTTTGAAAACAACCACAAAGTGTTAAACTGGAAGAAAACATGAACTTAAAATCTGAATTAACCAACGAACTGCTCTTAATCTATATGATTCATTTCTCATTATTGATTTTTTCCCACAACACCAACCGTCTAATCAGAATGAATGTTGTTGTTTATGTTGTTTGTGTTGTTGTTTATGTTGTTTGTGGTGTTGTTGTTGTTGTTTGTGTTGTTGTTGTTTATGTTGTCTGACCTCCAGCTCCATGTAGTGTCCGAGTCCCTCCACCTTGTCCAGGTGGACTCTGGTCTGACCAATCAGGAAGAGCCGTCGCTCCTTCACCACCTCCCCTCTGATGCCGAGGGCGTCCGACAGCACGGCCTGAACGAGCACACGGTTATTGATTATTGATTATCGGTCACTGATCGTGTTGTTGTTGTGGTTACGTCAGAGGGCGGAGCTTCACCTGGAGGCTCGGCGTGTCGCTGGTCGGGCTGATGGAGTAACGGGACAGTTTGGGTCCGTCGGTGTCGGGACGCTCGTAGAAGATCAGCTGACCGGAGCCGTTCTAACAAACAAACAAACAAACAAACAAACAAGTCTTATATCTCAGAACAACATGTACTTATTTATTTTTAGTTGCTTCTTTATTTTACATCCTGTATCTGTTGAGTTTAGTTGAACTGATTTTGTCTTTTAATTGTATTTTTATTTGATTATTATTTTATTATTTTGACCAGAGTGCTGTTCTCTCTTCGGCCACCAGGGGGAGTCACAGCTCAGTCTGTTTTCACCATCTGAGTTTAAAACCTTCACACATGAAGAGCAGCCGAACATAAAGAGCTGTAAGACTATTAATAAAGAACAACGAGTCGTGCAGCAGACGGTCTGAACTCAGGAAGTCCGTTTAGATCGTATGAAGAGACAAAACACAGAATAAATCAGGAACACTGAGGTGAGTTCTGCCACAAAACTACGTCCAAAACAGGTTAAAAAAAAACCCAAAAAATCTAAATACAGCCACAGATTAGTCTAG